TGTGTGTGAGAGAGAGAGAGAGAGAGAGTGTGAGTGTGTGTGTGTGTGTGTGTGTGTGATCACCTCTATTTATTGGTATTGCAAAACATGTATTTAGAAAAGTACCCCTCACTGTAGGGTTGATTATCTCTGGTGGGGCACTGGATAGGAATATATAAACCTGCTGTAAAAATGTTCAAATCAGAGAGATAAGCCTGCTTTATTTGTATTTGAAAAATGAACATATGTTATATAAGCATAACAAACAGTATTTTACAGTAATTATATTTATGATTGACTTGTTTTTCAAGCAGGAGCCTTGAAACATCTAAAGGTGACATCTAAAAATGATTTTGTAAAACCAATACATAGACGTAATCACAAAAAAAAGAGGAAAGTTAAAAACTGGTCAAGCAGCCTCACTGGACCGCTTGAGATGGACTGATCAGTGGGTTGAGACGACACTCAAGAGCTTCCACTGCAGAATAACGCTGCTGTTAGTTACTGACATACAGAACTAATCACATCTGCGTTTCAAAGCTTTCCACATCAGTCACTCTGAAAACAAGATGCACCTTCACTGGAGTCACAGGCGACGCGTAGTTAACCTGTATTTCTCCAGGAACATCAAGGATAGATGTTCAGCGTTTCTGCCGCCTCGCGCTCCGTTACTTCACTTCATACATCAGACGCTCATAAGTGTGTTTTGTAGGTGTTGGTGGCCTCCACATGAGTGTCAAACACTCCCAGTTTATGGGGCAGCCTCACTTCCCTCACGATTACCCAGACTGCCCTGCAGGACAGCGCTTCCAATCAGAGCAGGAGGCGGAGCTTCTAGAAAAGTTCAAAAGGTGAGTGCTGTGCTGAAGAAATCTTGCGTTTTATGTTTCTGTCATGATGAAATAGAAAATCACTTCGCTGCTTTCAGACGTCCTCCATCCAAACGCACCAACTACATCAAACACGGCTGCTTGGCGCCTTTCCGTTGCCCCTGGCAACAGCTGACGGAGGAGTGGGAGGAGCTAGTGAGCACAGAGACGGCTAGCGGCTGCAGAACTGGACCCTTCACTGTTCTGAGGTCAGTCACACGCTACACCACAGAGACGATCGATCGCTGTGCCACATGATCGTCTCTGTGTCTGCAGGAGTCTGAAGGCGCTGTCGGCGCTCCTCACCTTTGACCCCTGTGGCGGCTGCGGAGCTATGGCGGGAATGTGGGTGGAGTCTGGTGTGGGTGCGTCTGCATCTGTTGAGCAAAGGCCAGCCGGCGCTGCATGCCCCGACGACCTCTGACCTCCAGCGGCTGCTTCAGGACGCACACAGCAGTGGGCCGCAGGATCCTGGGCTCAGAGAGCAGCTCAAGCGGGGCGATGTGAGGAGCGTGCCCCGTGTTCTGCCCCACTGCAGCCGGCTGACGCTGGGAGACTTCTCTCTGGCTGCAGCTGGAGCATCAGCAGCGACGTGTGTAGCAGTCTGTGCTCAGCATGACTTCTGTTCTCATTAGGCTGCTGTTTGATCACAGACCGATGCGTGTCGCACCTCACAGACTCAATATACGGGAGAGCATGTGCTAAAACGTTTGGGGATGGTAAGATTCTTTTTTTTTTTTTTTTTTTTTTGAGAGAAACTACATCTTGTTGAAATGTGTGTCTTTTTTTATGGAATTTGAGAGGGATATTTGGTTAAATTTTTATTTAGTTTAAATACTGACTTTCAAACACTGTATCTCACTCTGCTGCATCAGTCTGTGCAGATTGTGTATTTTTCTGTATTATTAACCCAGCATCAGTGTTTTACTTTCTGCTCCTGCATCTTCCAGTAAGATTAATAATTGGAGCAAATTAAAGCTCTTTCCTGAGATCTGATTTTTTTGTGTGTGTGTATTCCATTTCTTAAAGAACTAGAGTCATGTCATCATGTGTTTCCTTTAGAGAAGTATTCAAATATTTAAACTAGTTTATTAAAAAATCATAATAATAACACTTAGACAGTTATGCATGCAAAATGAAACCTTTTCAAAACTCAGTTAGTCGGACCTGCACTCCACCTCTCTCACACACACACTCACACACTCACACACACACACACACACTCTCTCACACACAGACACACACACTCACACACACGAGTGTTAGTGTGGTTCTCTGTTCCTCCTGCAGGGGGCACTCCGTCTACGGCTCTTCCTGAATCCCGCTGTTACACGTGAGTTTAGACGCCAGTTTTCCATATTTACTGTCGTCTGATTGCGGCTGCACTTTATCCGTACAGCTTTTGCCTGAAATACACAAACGCAGTCCCATTATATCCTGAACTCTTGACGGCTCGATCGCTGGGCCGCTGTCAGGCGTTATTGGGATACCTGGAATCTGGCCCATTGAAATAAACACGCGGTCCATCTTGATTCTGGGACGAGCTCTCGCGATTAGAAACACTCCAGTAAACGCCAGCAGACACCTGAGTGACACACACACATCTTAAACCACAAACAAACAGGCAAATGTTGTTCTAAATTATAATAATCTTTGAGAAATGCTCACCCGATCACAAACATGATGATGTATATCAAAGACAAACCATAAAATTCTTCATAAAATAAAATGCCTAGAAATACAAACATATTCCGTTAAGCAGTTTTGTGTTTCCAGGAAGGAAAAGCAACTGGTCTTTATTCAGCAAAACACATTTAAACGACTGACCAGCTACGACGGCGCTCGCGGTGAAGAAAACATAATTGATGGGCACGATCTCAGTGGCGTCGAACATCTTCATGGCCTGATTCAGAAACCTGAGCAAATGGAGAGAAGTGAGCAGGATTCTTCTGAGCACAGTAAGTGATCAGTGAAGGGTCAGACGCACTTGATCTGAAAGGCGCAGGACGTCACCATGATGATGAACATGATGTAGAAGATGGGATAGGTGAGCTGCAGGTGACTTCCACGGATCGTCTCTGTGATCATTCCTGAAACCGCTTTCACCGAGATCACCGTCACCGAAGCTGCAACAAACACTCTTACTGATCTCTTCATCATGACAGTTATGAAACACCCAGACCAGAATCTGTTCTTACCGAGTAACGCCACCAAAATCATCATGATCACAATGTGTTTTATGTTCCTGCACTTGTACAAATACATCAGGATAGCGAAGAGAATAATTTCAAACATCTGCAGAGAGACAGACAGATAAAAGATTCGTTCTGAAGAACCACATCATTTATACGTGATTCATTGACGTTCAAGCCGGCCGAGGACTTTATTTCGCCTTATGTTTGTGGATCTCTAGGTGTCACTTTACTAATGGCCTCTTCTGTAAAATGTGATGGGTTAGCTGTACTGTATCTTGGTCAAGATTGAACAGACTCACGAAGTAAATCAGGAAGGTCCAGCTGACCAGCGAGCGCTCCACCATGTTGGCTGTGACGTGAGGCGATGAATGAGGGGCGAATGTCACCAGAAAGTAGGTTCCGGTCATCGCTAAAGCACCTCCTGCCAACAAAACACCTTCATTACAAGAACTCTGAGGGAAGTTGATTGAAACGTGTTCATGTTACATGATGATGCGGTTTGTGGACGGCTGGTGTCTCATTTCCTGCTGATTCAAGCTGAAGCGCTCTTCAGCAGACGCTCAAGACCCGTGCTTTTCTGTCACACTGAACTGATTCAGTCTGGACCCAATGAGCTTTAGTCAACAACAACAACAACAACAAATAATATGAATTGAACTAATAATAATCTCCTGATTTCTGGAGGAATGATTTCATATATGTGACCCTGGAGCACAAAACCATAACCATATTTGTAGCAATAGCCAACAATACATTGTATGGGTCAAAATTATAGATTTTTCTTTTATGCCAAAAATCATTAGGATATTAAGTAAAGATCATGTTCCATGAAGATATTTTGTAAATTTCACTTGTAAATTTCTTACTGTAAATATATCAAAACTTAATGTTTGATTAGTAATATGCATTGCTAAGAACTTCATTTGGACAACTTTAAAGATGATTTTCTCAATATTTAGATTTTTTTGCACCCTCAGATTCCAGATTTTCTAATAGTTGTATCTCAGCCAAATATTGTCCTATCCTAACAAACCATACATCAATGGAAAGATTATTTATTCAGCTTTCAGATGATATATAAATCTAACTTTCATCCCTGTAGCTCAATACTAACTGGTTGAACTGACGATTTTACAAACTTTCCCCGGTCTTGCTTTATATGTATATATAATATTATTTGAGTTTAATTGTTTTTCTATACAACAAGAGAAGACTAGGAAAAAGTTTACAAGATCTTCATTATGAGATGTAAGAAGGACTCTAATCTCACCGAGGATATCTGAAGCACGTAACATTTCCTTGAGGAACACCACAGAAATGACGGCACTCGCTGAAAGAGAGACAAACAGAACCTTTACATGCTTCTGAACATCAGTCAAAGAGTAAAATACTGACTATTGAACTACAGAACTGCAGCCTTTAGACCTGTGTCGTGTTTTAATGAACAGAGGGAAGGTCTTACCGATGACAGACACAGAGCCGAGAGGAGCGATGAGTGACGCCGGAGCGAATCCATACGCAGCGAAGTTCCCCAGCTCCCCCAAACCCATCAGCAGGATCCCGCACCACCACAGACGGCTGGTGTAGTAGGGCTTCGTCCCTCGCTGCGACTGCCGCACATGCGTGTATTTCTGCACAAACACCAGCAACACTACAACAGTTTAGCAGAGGACCTCTAAACATCAAACACACAGCACCGAAACACTGACAGAGCATTTGTGTGTGTGATCGTGTGAGCGAGCTGAGCATCACCTGGATATTCAAGGAGATGCTGATGAGAAAGTTTCCACATACTGCGATGCAGATCCCCACGATATAAACCTACGAACACAAAACATCAGCTCAGGGGCGTCACTAGTGTGGGGAAGATGGGACAGATCCTGTTCCTCATCCCTAAAACACCATTGGCTTAATTATTTCTCCAGGACCAACAAGGATGATTCAAGAACATGAGCTACATGTGCAAAATCAGCAACACCCAGAAAAGTGTAGTGTGTGCTAAAGTAAAACTCTACAGATGTTTAGCTGAAAAAACTCAGAACTGAATTCTCAGGTGTAGTCGCTGTAGTTTTAGTTTAGTTTCAGATTAGAGGTCGCGGTCGCTGTAGATTGAGTTTAGTTTCAGATTAGAGGTCGCTGTAGATTGAGTTTAGTTTCAGATTAGAGGTCGCTGTAGATTGAGTTTAGTTTCAGATTAGAGGTCGCTGTAGATTGAGTTTAGTTTCAGATTAGAGGTCGCTGTAGATTGAGTTTAGTTTCAGATTAGAGGTCGCTGTAGATTGAGTTTAGTTTCAGATTAGAGGTCGCTGTAGATTGAGTTTAGTTTCAGATCAGAGGTTGTAGTCGCTGTAGATTGAGTTTAGTTTCAGATCAGAGGTTGTAGTCGC